ACAGTTGGATATCAGAATAGGTAAAGTATCGCAGTTCATGAGGATGATGGTATTCGTGAATGATGTGATTCTACTCTAATCCGATTACACACGCCTATACGTTAACGGGTGAGGACTTCATCCACACTTGAAAACACAGGGGTCATTCATCTTCCAGGGACCAAACAAGACCCCGATTGGCTTATACGTTATCGATTAGATGAATTCCGCTTCACAAGTAACCCCGCCAAGCAGAATAGAACAACACAGCTTCGGTGGGGACGTCCCAAAAAGAATTGCAACTGATCACACTGAAAGGTTAGGAAAAAAGCTCATCTCGTCTGAAGCAAGCAGGAATCGCCCAAGCAGACCCGGAAACTTGTCAACCATACCTGTCAGTCAACCAGTAAATACCAGCACTGTTGGTCTATCAGGCATTACTCAATCTTAGAGACAGGTTTCGGCGTGCGGGCGAGCGCGCAATTGAAATTTGGGCAAAGCTCCGTGAGCAGAAAAGTTGGTGTAACCTTGTCGGACCCTACTAACTAGGGCCTAGTTGATGAGTAGGCGATCTCCCATCCGAAATGATCTGTATAGCACTCCGCCAAACATAGCCTGTCCGTGCTAGAGTTCTACACTTACCACAAGTTCATAGCCTTTCTTGCATATATCATCCGCGTCTGACTATCCTCTATTCATGGGATACTTGATAGCTCTCTTCCCAACTCATATTCTCCATGTCTGCCTACCCCAGACCACAACAATCAGAGCAGCAGCAGCAGCCTCCGGGAGCTCATAGTAGTCTGGCATATGGTAATGCTGAGGACAGGAAGGTATAAAGGGAGGGACGACGGTCGTTTAAGGGTATTCTGTATAATTCTATTTAGCGTTTTCTACGTAGTCTTTTACGTTCACCCTCTCATTGATTTCTATACATAAGGCATGCTGGATAACATGAATGAGGATATCGTGTCAGATATTCATGGGAGGCCTACCCCAGGAGCTTGATAAAGAGTATATTGATGCTTACTTCTCCCAATTCGGGGAGATTGAGGATTCCATAGTCATGATGGATCGCGTCACTGGCCGATCGCGTGGCTTCGGCTTTATAACATTCCTGCATCCCCAAGATATGGAGGTAGTAGTGATTATAGACGACGTCATCTCATCGTCATGCTTCTGGTGTCACAGACGTGTCTGGCCAACAGCCCCCATGTTCTTATGGAGAAGGTCATCGATGTGAAACGAGCGGCTGATGGTAAGAAGCCGTACTCTTCTGCTGGCAATGCTGGGCCGGCACCTCGACGCATCGACATGTTATCACATCCAACAAGGGCAGCAGGCAGTGGATATAGTAACTATATACTCCTTTGGATACTACCTCTTTCGATCATGTGTTCCCAGATAATATCCCTTCCTTAGAGCATAGGGTGGATCCTAGTCGTCTGGTTGATGATCCCAGGAAGGTCTTTATTGGTGGTATCCCAGTCAGTGGGGATAAAGGTAGAATGATTATTACGACGGGTTGTGTAATGATGATACTCTA